CATTTGGAATCACTGGGTCAGAGGATGAAAAAAGAAAAAAAGAATGAAGAAAAAAAGAGCCTATGGGCACTGGCAAGCAAACCAATATATGGAGTACTAGGGTCTCCTAAAGAAAAGGGTTACAGAAAGGGGCACAGAGCTTAACTGAAGAAATAATGGCCAGAAAGGCCAGAAACCTGAGGCAGGAAATGAATGTACAGATTCAAACAGTTCGCTTAATGAATGGGATATATATTCTTAAAAATATATATCTATATTTTGTTCAGCATCTCAAAGAAACTTTCTGCTTTGGCCATGATCACCAGAGTGCAGAGAGAGAGACACTTCTGCGTCTGTTCTTCATTCCAGGTCATTAGAACTTCCTCCATGTCTGATACAGGCTCTTCTTGAATTTTGTTAGTTTTGTTGCCTTCAATGAAGAGATCCTTTCACAGCTTCTGTCACCTTGTTCTTGTTCTTGAAGATCTGGCTAGGGTGGAATGAAATATGACTGGCTGGCCAGCACTAATCGTCACTGATTTTCCTCCTTTGTTGTACTTAATCACTTTTTCCTTTGTTTCCAGACCAGTCACTCAAAGTGGCCGCTTACATGCAACAGTGATTTTGTATGCTTGGGGGCCATGATGAACAAAACAACGTGAGATGAGATCAAGCACAAGAGAAAATGATGCAATCAAGAGATGCAGTGAAGACGAGATGTAGGAGGCTGCTGGTGCTAAAACATGGCATAATGTTTTACAGCAAATTTCTTTTTATAAGTAGAAAGAGTACCCTCAAATATAATAACAGAGCATAGTATAGTAACTACATAAACCAGTAACATAGTCATTTGTGATCATCATCTAGAATTATGTACTGTATATAACTGTATTGCTATACTTCTATATCTATATAACTGGCAGCACAGTAGGTATGTGTACACCAGCATCACCACAAACACATGAGTAATGTATTGCGCTATGAAGTTATGACAACTATGAGCTTACTAGGTGAGGGTAATTTTTCACCTCCATTATAATCTTCTGGGACCACCATCAGAGAAGTGGTCCATTGTTGACCTCAGTAACTTTATGTGGTACGTGATTGCATTCATTACATTTGAGACAAAGCTTCAATGCCTTACTATATTCAGGTTATTAATAAGCTAGAAAGGGAAGGATACACACAACTGATCAAACTGAATCATGAAGTAAGGGAAAATCTGAAGGGACAAATAACCAGTAAGGAGATTGAAGAAGTAATCAAAAACCTTCAAACAACAACAACAAAAACCCAGGACCTGATGGTTTTCCTGGTAATTTCTACCAAACATTTAACAAAGATTNGCAACAACAAAAACCCAGAACCTGATGGTTTCCTGGTAATTTCTACCAAACATTTAACAAAGATTTACTGCCAATCCTCCTCAAACTCTTCCACGGAATCGAAGAAGGGATACTCACAAACCCATCTTATGGGGCCAGCATTACCTGACACCAAAACCCTCAACAAGAAAAAAATTAGAGACAAATATCCCTGACAAATATTAATGCAAAAATCCTCAACAAAATAGTAGCAAACTGAATTCAATAGCACATTAAAAGGACTTTACGCCAGGAGTCAGTGAGGTTTTTCCCCCTGGAATACAGGGATTAATTAACTAACATAGGAAAATCTATCAATGTAACATACCATTTTCACAGAATGAAGGGTAAAATCCTCATGGTCATCTCAGTTAATGCAGAAAATACATTTCATGAGATTCAACACCTTTTTGTGATAAGCAACAATCAACAAAATGGGAATATGAGAAAACTACCTTAACATAATAAATTACATGTATGAAAAGCTCACAACTAACATACTCACTAGTGAATTCCTGAAAGTTTTTCCTCTAAGATCAAGAATAAGACAGAATGTTCTCTCTCTCACCAATTCTATTTAATATAACATTGGAAGAGCCAGCAAGAGCAATAAGCAATAAAATAAATAAATGACATCTCACTTGGAAAGGAAGAAGCAAAATTATGAGTGTTCACAGCTGACACGATCCTGTATATAGAAAACACAGAAGACCCCACATGAAACTCTTAGAACTAATAAATGAATTATAGGATAGAAAATCAAAACAATTTATTGTGTTTCTATACACTTACAATGAATAATCTGCAATGCAGTGGATGTTCCCTGCAGATCAGATACATGAGGCTAACAAAGCTCATGTTTGAAAGTGACCTAAAGTGTCATGAGGAGAATTGTAACCAGGCATGTTGAATGTTTTCAGTTTTGCTGTTGGACTGAATCCCAGGAGATGGAATGGTGGAGACGTCATTACAGAGAAGCCCAGGACGTGTCATTGCAAAGCCTCACTCCAGTGCTCCCATGAGTACTAAGTGCATATGTCCTTAATCTCACTTGCTATAGGGTAAGTTTAAAATGTATTCATTGAAAATCATCTTTTTGAGATTTTAGAGGATGCAGAAATTTGTTAAGTATATAGTTTTACTTCAAGTGCCTTTTTTTTCCTTTTAATTTAACTCCCCAGTGTTAGATACTCTCTCTTTTAATTTTTCAATTACAGTTTACATTCATTATTATTTTGTATTAGTTTCAAGTGTACAGCATAGTGGTTAATTAATCATATACTTGACAAAGTATTCCCCCAATTTTTCTCGTACCCACCTGGCACCATACATAGTCATCATAATTTTATTGACTGTATTCCCTGGGCTGTGGTCTACGATTAATGGAGTTTGTGCACATCCTTTTGGGTTGTGCTAATAAACAGACTGATACGCAAGTAGTGTTTTGGGGTCGCTATATTGGCTGTTATATAACTCATATTCAATTTGTTCAGCTAATTTGTTGAAATAATTTCAATGAATTGGAAATCCTAGGGCTAAGGATATCCTAAATTTATATTTTGAGTCAAAACTGTAGCTTTTCCACTAATTGTAGATCCTCCTCCTCAATCTGTCTCCCAGTGTTTGCTTAAGAGAGTTGAAACTGTACAAAACTGTTCAAAACTGAAAAACATTAGATATCAGTGTTTTTATTCTTTGACAGTGTGATATTACAGAGAAATTATTCTAGTCATTGTTCTGCTCAATCATCATAAATTCTTAATCCTTAATTGTCATTTGTATTATTTCATTTTCTTTTCTTCCAGTTTATTGGGATTATTAGCATCTTGGTTTCCAAAAGCTCATTAAAACTAAAGATGTTAACCATTTGCCATGCATTGCAAATGAAATACCTTTTTTATATTATTTTACTGTGATGTTTTATTTCTTGGTTGTGTATTAAAATATAATCATGTTCTGTTTTTAAAGAAAGGAAATAATTCGAGTTGCAATAGTGTAAAAAAAAGTGAGATACTTAAGAACAAACTTAAACAAGGAGATGAAAGACTTGTATATTGAACACTGCAAAATATTGCTGAAAGAAACTGCATGACACAAATAAATGAAAAGTACATGTCCAGGAATAGAAGACATAATATTATTAAGATGTCATTACTACCCAAGGCAATCTTAATATTCAATGCAATCCCTACGGCAATCCCAATAGCATTTGTTGGTAGAAGTATAAAGAAAAATAATCTCAGAATTCATATGGAATCTCAAGGGACCCTGAATAACCATAAAAATTTTGAAAAAGAAGAACAAAGTAGAACAACTCACATTTACTGATTTCAAAACATAGTACAAAGCTAAAGTAATAAAAACAGTGCGGCATTGCCTTAAAAAAACACCCTATAGATTATTGAAATAGAATAGAGAGCCTATAATTTAACCCTCACAAATATGTTCAAATGTTCTACGAGAAGGCTACCAAGACCACAAAATGAGGAAAAGATAATTGGTTCAACAAGAATAAGTGGTGATGGGAAAACTGAATATCCATGTGGAAAAGAATAACCTTGGACCCTAATGTTACACCATATGCAAAGGGTAACTCAAAATGGATAAAAATCTGAAGGTAAGACCCAGAACTACAAAACACCTGGAATAAAACATAGAAGAAAAGCTTCACAACATTGAGTTTGTCAATAATTTCTTGGATACAATGCCAAAAGCACAGGCAACAAAAGCAAAGATAGAAAAATAGGACTACATCAAACAAACTTTTTGTGTTTCAAAGGGCACAACCAACAGTGTAAAGGCAACCTACAGAATGGGAGAAAATATTTGCATATCATATATCTGATACGGGTTAATATCCATAATATAAAGAACTCCTACCACTTGACAACAAAAGACAAATCGCTCAGTTAAAATATGGACTAAGGATTTGAATAGACATTTCTCCAGAGATAATATACAAAAAGTCAAAACGCATATGAAAAGATGCTCAACATCACTAATAATCATAGGAATGCAAATCAAAATCACAATGAGGTATTACCTCATATCAATTAGGATGACTGCTATTTAAAAACACAAAAAATGCACTGGCTGGGTCGCTCAGTTGGTTGGAGTGTTGTACCATACACCAAAAGGTTGTGGGTTCCATTCCCAGTCAGGGAACATACCTAGGTTGCAGGTTGATCCCCAGTTGGGGCACGAATGGGAGGCAACCAATCAATGTCTCTCCCTCACTCTCTCTCTTGCTGCCTCTCCCTCTCTCTGTCTTCCTCCCTCTTTCTCTAAAATCAATAAGCATATCCTTCAGTGGGAATTAAAAAAAAAGAAAAGAAAATGACATACAAGTGTTGGTGATGTTTTCACAATGCAATGTGAACAGCTGGGATTATAAAATGGTATAAGCAGTATAATAGTTCATCAAATTATTAAAAATACAATTACCATATTATATAGCAAACCCACTTCTGGTTATATATCCAAAAGAACTGAAATAGAAGATATCTGCACTCCCATTTCATTGCAGAATTATTCACAATAGCCAAGGAATGGAAACAACCTAAGTTTCGATGGATGGATGGATGGATGGATGGATGGATGGATGGATGGATGGATGGATGGATGGATGGACGGATGGAGAAAATGTTACACACACAAACACACTTGCATGCACACATGCACACATACATACATACATGGAATATTATTCAGCCATAAAAATAAGGAAATCCTGTCTTTTGCAACAACATGGATGTAGCTGGATGGTACAATGCTAAGTGAAATAAGCCAGACAAAGACAAATATTACATTATTTCCTTTATACATGGAATGTTAAAATGTCATACTCACAAAAGCAGAGAATAGAATGGTGGTTGCCAGGGGCTAGAGGGTTTGGGAAATAGGGCCATTTTTCTCAAAGGGTACAAAGTTTCAGTTATGCAAAATGAAAAGCTCTGCAGATATGTTTCACACAACATAAATACACTTAACACTACTAAACTGTATACTTAAAAATAGTAAAGGTAATGTATTTTATATGTATTTTACCATAATAAAAATCCTTTTAATATTATACCATTTGAGTTTCAAAATGTATAAAAAAGCACTTTCTAAAAATCTGTCAAAACAGTATGGTAGATACACTACATGCACTTTCTCTTCTTGAAGTGGATACTAACTTTCAATAGGGTATGTAACTATTCAAGAGATGGGAATAAAATACATACCAGAGCAATTCCTGCAGCAAGCTTTGAATCACATGCCATTCCACGATATGTTGCTCCCACGTAAGTAGGATAATCCCTATAACTGAATAATAAATTTTTTCTTTAGGATAAGTGCATTATGATTATTAATAACTTAATGGCTTTTGAAGAATTGGATTCCTCAATAGAACTATGTTCGCTTTATTTTTTATCTTTATTGTTGAAAGTATTACAAATGTCCCCTTTCCCCCCTCCTGCCTTGATCCCCTCCAGCCTGTTCCCCTCCCCAGGTCTTCACCACATAATTGCCTGTCTCCAGGGGTTATGCATGTATGCATAAAAGTTCTTATGTTAATCTCTCCCTATGCACCCACCCACATCTTCCCTCAAAGATTCGTCAGTCTGTTCCATGGTTCTATGTCTCTGGATCTTTTTAGTTCATTAGATTCCACATATGAGTAAGATCATGTGAAAGTCATACTTTTCTGACTGGCCTATTTCTTTTAGCATAATTCTCCCCAGGTGCCACCATGCTATGTCATAAGGTAAGAGATCTTTCTTTTCTCCAGCTATATAGTATTCCACGGTGAAAACGACCAAGAAGATGCTTGATCTGATTTCAATGTTCTTGAACTTGTAGAGACTTATTTTTGTATCCTAACATGTGGTATGTCTTTGAGAATCTTCAATGTGCACTTGAGGAGAATGCATATTCTGCAGCTGTTCAGGGGAATGTTCTGTAAATTTCAAGTAAATCCATCTGATCTGGTCTAGTGTATCATTTAGAGTCACTCTTTCCTTGTTAATTTTTTGTCTGGAAGATCCATCCACTAAAGTTTGTGGGGTGTTAAAGTCCCATACTGTGACTGTATTGCTATCTATCTCTCCTTTAAGGTACTCCAGAATTTTTTGGTTTTGTTTTTGATCTATTTTTGTTCTGAGATGGGACAGCATATGTTTAGGTCTTGTTTTGTTTTATCCATTCATCATCTACAATATGTCTTTTTTTTCTTTTTACATTTGTTTGTTTGTTTGTTTGTTTGAATATTGTTGAAAATGTAACAGACGTCCCCTTTTTACACCCATTGATTGGTCCCCTCCACCTCGCATACACCCTACCCCCAAGCCTTCCCAGACCAGTGTCTGTGTCCGTGAGTTATTCTTATAAACATATAAGTTCTTTGATTAATCTCTCTCCACCCACTCCCTCATCCCGACCTTCCCTTTGAGATCCCACAGCCTGCTCCATGCTTCTATGTCTGGATTTATTTTGTTCATCAGTATATTTTGTTTCTTATATTCCACATGTAAGTGAGATCATGTGGTATTTGTCTTTCTCTGACTGGCTTAATTCACTTAGCATAACACTTTCTAGTTCCCTCCAGGCTGTGCCAAAGGATAAAAGATCCTTCTTTTTTACAGCTGCATAGTATTCCCTGGTGTAAATGTCCCACAACTTTTTTATCCACTCATCTACTGATGGGCACTTGGGCTGTTTCCAGATCTTAGCTATTGGAAACTGTGCTGCTACAAACATAGGGGTGAATAAGTTCTTTGTGATTGGTGTTTCGGGTTCCTTAGGCTATATTCCTAGAAGTGGGATCATTGGGTCAAATGGAAGATCAATTTTTAATCTTTTGAGGAACCTCCATACTGCTTTCCATAGTGGCTGCACCAGTCTGCATTCCCACCAGCAGTGTACTAGGGTTCTTCTTTCTCCACACCCTCACCAGCACTTGTAGTTCCTTGATCTGTTGATGGAGCCATTCTGACAGGTGTGAAGTGATACCTCATTGTGGTTTTTATTTGCATCTTTCTGAAGATTATCGATGTTGAGCGTTTTTTCATATGTCTCTTGGCCATCTGTATGTCCTCTTTAGAGAAGTATCTATTTAGTCCTTTGCCCATTTTTTAACTGGATTGTTTGTCTTCCTTTTGTTAAGTTGTGTGAGTTCCTTATATATTTTGGATATTAACCCTTTATCCGATGTGTCATTGGCAAATATGTTCTCCCATACACTGAGTTTCCTTTTCGTTTTGTTGATGGTTTCCTTTGCTGTGCATGAAGCTTTGTATTTTGATGTAGTCCCATTTGTTTATTTTCTCCTTGGTTTCTCGTGCCCTAGGAGATGTATCAGCAAACATATTGCTATGAGAGATGTCTCAGATTTTGCTGCCTATGTTTTCTTCCAGGATTTTTATGGTTTCATGCCTTACATTTAAGTCTTTTATCCATTTTAAATTTACTTTTGTGTCTGGTGTAAGTTGGTGGTCTAGTTTCATTTTTTTGCATGTACCTGTCCAATTTTCCCAACATTATTGATTGAAGAGACTGTGTTTACTCCATTGTATGTTCTTGCCTCCTTTGTCAAATATTAACTGACCATAAAGGAGTGTGTCAATTTCTGGGTTCTCTGTTCTGTTCCACTGATCTATATGTCTGTTCTTGTGCCAGTACCAGGCTGTTTTGGCTACAGTGGCTTTGTAGTATAACCTGATATCTGGTATTGTGATCCCTCCAGCTTTGTTCTTCTTTCTTAAAATTACCATGGCTATTCTGGGTGGTTTTTTTCCATATAAATTTTCGAAGTGTTTGTCCTAGATCTGTGAAATATGCTGTTGGTATTTTAATAGGGATTGCATTGAATTTATAGATTGCTTTGGGGAGAATGGACATTTTAATGATGTTAATTCTTCCCATCCATTAACACGGCTAAAGGTTCATCAATCTTGTTTATCTTTTCAAAGAACCAGCTCTTGGTTTCATTGATCTTTTGTACTGTTTTTTTAGTCTCANCTTTCAAAGAACCATTGGTTTCATTGATCTTTTGTACTGTTTTTTTAGTCTCAATGTCATTTATTTCTGCTCTGATCTTTATTATTTGTTTCCTTTCACTTACTCTGGGCTTTTCTTCTTGTTCTCTTTTGAAGTTTTTAAGTTGTAGGATTAGAGAGTCTATTAGAAGTTTTTCTTGTTTTTGAGGTAGGCTTGTAGTGCTAAGAACTTCCGTCTCAGGACTGCTTTCATTGTCTCCCATAGATTTGGAGTTGCTGTGTGTTCATTTTCATTTGTTTCCAGGAACTTTTTGATTTCTAGCTTGATCTCTTTGGCAATCCATTCATTGTTTAAAAACAGGCTTTTTAGCCTCCATGTGTTTAAATGTTTTTTAGTGTTTTCATTGTGATTGATTTCTAATTTCATGCCACTGTGGTCTGAAAAGATACTTGATATGATTTCAGTCTTCTTGAACTTGTAGAGACATGTTTTGTGTCCTAACTCTTGGTCTGTCTTTGAGAACTGTCCCATGTGCACTTGTGAAGAGTCTGTATTCTGCAGCTTTGGGGTAGAATATTCTGTAAATGTCACTTAAATCCATCTGATCTAGTTTGTCATTTAGGTTTACTGATTCCTTGTTGATTTTTTGTCTGGAAGACCTATCCAGTGAATTCCGTGGGGTGTTAAATTCCCCTAATATGACTGTATTGCTGTCGATCTCTCTCTTAAATTCTAGAAGTTTTTTATAAATTTAGGTGCTCCTATGTTAGGTGCATATACGTTTATCAGGGTCATATTGAGGTAGGAACCGCCACCATTTTAGGAAGATTCCCCATTTCAGGTTCAGATTACCTGCCTGAATGTATATATAACCTTATCTAACCTCTGTAACCCCGCCCACTATTTTCGCGCCAAAAGCAGGCCCGACCTCTGACCCCATAAAGCTGACCTAAGCCCTTTGTTCAGGGCCCAGAATTTGGAGATGCCTCCTCTGGGATCGCATGGGTTAATAAAGGTCTCCTTTCGCCTCCTCCGGTGTATGGCCTGAGTCTTTTCCGCTACATTTTGGCTCCCTGACCCGGGAAATGACTCACGCATGCAGGCGCTTTGCCACCAGTGAGGGACACGAGCGGGATCTGCGGAGCTCAGAGGCGGGAGGGAAGCGCGCGCCACGGTCTTTTCGGTCCCGGCCCATCCGGAGCCCCGCAGACGGCCACTAGCGGAGTCCATCCACCCGGGCTGCTGGGGGAGGACGAACGGATCTGGACACGGGACGAGATCTCTTCGGAATCGGTGAGTGCCCCGAGGACCAGGAGCCCGAGACCAGGCCCACCCTCCGGGTGGAAGGAGAGACTGATCACCTCTCTTGGCCCTTTGGCCACAGGCAGGGACATCCTATCGGGTGGGGATGTCTAAACTCGGTTGACTGGAGTGTGAGTGTGAGTGAGTGAATGTCTGTGTGGCTCCACGGGCGCTCGCCCACGGAGTCTGAGTGGGCCCCAACCTGCGGTTCCGTGGGGCACCTCATACGGCTCAGGGCAGCGTCAGGCTCTGGGGGACCCCGTCCCTCCCTGCGAGTCTGATCCGGGTCAGGGGTTTATACTGACCTGCCAAAGCTAAGAGGCACCTAAATCCCCGCGAGGGGAGCGCCCAGGCGGGCGACCTGAATACCCCCTCCCTTGTTTGTCTACGCCGACGTGGGAAGGAAGGGCTATCAGGGGACCTCGTCGACGGTATTAGGTTGTATGCTTAGGAACTTTGACCTGTTCAGGGGACAGGACCCTTAGTGACCCCGGATCAGCTCGACACTTTCTGCTCGGTCGAGTGGCTGTCATTCAGGGTAGGCTGGCCCCCTGAGGGAACTCTTAATCTGGGGATCGTCCGGGCAGTACACCCAGTAGTTACAGGGAAGCCAGGACATCCCGACCAGTACACATACATAGACAGGTGGCAGGAACTAACCCGGGAGCTACCGAGTTGGCTTCGCCAGTGCCAGAAACAGATGCCCCGAACCGTCGGGGTCGCCGGGGCCAAGAAGAAGGCTTCCCGAATACTAGTGGCCCACCCTAGGGAAGGCCGGCACCCGCCAATCTACAGGAGTGACCCAGAGGAAGAGCTGCCATTTAGCACGTCCCCACCTTACGCCCCAGAGCTGAGAGCCCCGGAACCGAACGCTCCGGAACCAAAGGCCCCGGAGCTAGAAACCCCCCCACCGTCAGTTTCACCGCGGTGTCAGGTGGAAGCAGCCCCAGCCTCACCAATGGCAACCAGATGCCGTCCCAAGCAGGCCCTACAGCTACCCTTAAGGGAGACCCAAGGGCCCCCGC